ATTCCCTTACATTGTGTCTTATAAAAATGAATCACCATTGATCTATGCCCACCACTAACATTTCTCCTTTTTTTAGGAGAAAAACGGTTTTCTCATATACAGCTTTTAAGAGAAAATAACTTGCTTAGGTGCATGCGTGGAGTCATAGCTGACTCTTCATTGAGTCTCCAAGGCAGTAAATTGCCCATCTTTCTCCTGCACAGAGCAGCTTGGTGGATTGAAGCACCGGAGGCCCTGGGCCTTTGGGTTAGCAGTCCTATTCCCTGTTGTCTATGCCTCCAGAGCTCCTTTCTGAAGGTGGTTTCAATGTATCAGCTGCTCCTTGAGAGAAAGACCATCTCCTCCCATGTGATTTACAGTAACTCAAGGGAGAGTCACTTATGAGTCTTAATGGCCAGGAGTTTGAGACATTTGGCTCTTTTAGGTGGAGTCAGAACCATACCTAACACCTTCAACGTAAGACCCCTTCTGTTAGTTGTGCACAATGCAGAGTTTCTGGCTAAAAGAACTTTTAAAGCAAGGGGTCTTGAAGAACATTCTGAGAACTGCAAACCATTCCATTCCTTCTCAGCTTATTAAGTAGCTGCACTACAATCTTGAAGGTACGCAGTGCAAATCCTCCCACTGCTCCATGAGAGAAGGATGTGCAGTCTCTTCTCCTGTGATTAGCAGCCTCTGAAAACCTGCTCGAGGGTCAGCTAATTTAATTTCTGATTTGACAGCACACAACAGCCACCTGTTTCATACTACCAGTGTCTATACTATTTAACTATTTATACTATTTAGTGTATTTTTCTTAATTTGAAAGATTTGTTTTTAAGATGTTTCAGCTGTTTCTTTGCAGCTACTTCAGACTAGCTAAGAAGACTGTAGCTAACTGTTGTTATGTGCCGTCGAGTCAACTATTGCGACCCTATAAACAATAGATCTGAACCCTGCCCTTAACACTGTCTGACACATCTTCCCCCACTGCCAGAGTCACAGTCAATTCATCTCACCCAGGGTCTTCCTCTCCTGTACGGACCCTCCACCCTTCCAAGCATGATGTCCTTCTTTAAGGACTGGTCCCTCCTGTCAGCATGCTGAAAGCATCAAAATCCTTGCTTTTAAGGAGCAACCTGATTTAACTCTCTCCAGGATCGACCTGTTTGCCAGTTTTCTATTAATCCAAAAACGGGTTTTTCATGTGTGCCTGTAGAAATCACTGTGGAGCCAAATCACGTTGAAGTGTTAATGCTGAAGAATTGCCATTAACGAAGTTTGAAATCCCTTAACCATTAGCAATATGCTGTTTGAACTGGCAGTGAATCTGTGACAGAGGGATTAGAGCATTCCCAGGGTGCATTAGTATTTTCTGGTTAAATAAATGAAAAGCTTTATCAAGGGAAGAGAGGCCTTCTGGTCCCAATATTACTATTAGGGTCAGGAACATTTTGGGGTTGCCTGTCCCTGAGTAGTTCAAATGACTGATGCATGTAGCTACCAACATGACTGAAGTGAATACCATAAAACAAAATCCTCATGAGTGACTGAATGCGAAACCAATCTTTGTCTGTACACTTTCATTCAAGCCAGCATTTTTTAAAAATCTTGACAGGAGCAGGCTGGCTCGTTCTCCCAGGGAGCAACTGGTAGATTCTAACTTCTGCCCTCTCAGTTAGCAGTCCAACACTCAACCCACTATACCACCAGGACTCCATATGTATTGGTATGCTGGAGTGTATCAAGCATATACTGTATATGCTTGCTCTATAATAATTAACCACAAATAAGTTGCATAGTTCTCATTCATACATGTGTTGATCAGCTGGACTTTTACTAAAGTCCGCTGGGCTTGATGTCACGTTGTATAGTTTGGGTTTGACTCATCTGCACTTAGCTTTCATCCTCCTGGGCCAGAGACGCACTCAATTCTCTCACCACTGCCTTCTGTGCTGAATAAGACAATCACACTCCCTTCTCCGCACTTCTTCTCCCCTTTGTCTGGAGTGCCTTTCTCTCCAGTGACTCACACCGTCAAGTCCATAAAGTTCCCCCTTAACTGCACTTCATCAGTGAGGGATTCTAAGACTTCCCACTCTGACAAATCTTCCTCATTCCATCTCCCTAGCTGGCTCTCCTCTGAGCCTTCAGACCTAAGTACGTAATTTACTCATTTAGGCTGTGTGCCCCATCAGAATGTCAGTTCCATGAAATCAGGTACTTTGGCTTGTTTATTGCTATAAATCCTGCACCAAGCATATAAATGGTTTTGGTTCAATACTAGAATAAACCAATTATTCTTACTGTTTTTAAACACTATTCTTTATAAACTGTCTCAATACTGGATACTCCAATATTGCTACTTGGACTTGAGTCCACTGGTATTTTATTCAGCTGTTTCCATTTTTCCAGTATAATCTGACAGAGAAGATTTTAGACATTGAGCATTTGGCTTGATTCACCTCTTCTCATGCATATTATGTGATAAATTTTCTTTTCATTCTTAAAAGGCGATTACCTGAATCCAGAGGATTTTCTCCCCCCCCCCCCCGAGGATTTTCTTTACTTAACGTCTTCGAGAATCCTGAGAATAGAAGAAAACAAGATTATTTTTTTCTGGTTTTTGTTTTCTGTTTGAATGGATACATTTATCACTGCCATGAATGTTCTCCATTAAAACAAATCAGCCAATTTTACATTTGTATTGAACACTCATAGCTGAGACTCATAGATGATAGTTTATCTGTGGAGATGAACTTGGCTGACATCATTAGGTTTATACTTTACAATTTGCTCCTGGAAACAATTCCAGGAGAGAAATGTCAGTCACTTCATTGAACTGTACCTGAATCTTAACACAGTACAATTGAGTTCCTAGAGCCCTGGAATGATGTAATTAAACTGTCACAAATATTAACATCGACGCTCATGAGTTACTCTGTGGGTTGTGATTTATTCTGCGAGGCATACTATCTATCACTAAAGTGGACTTGCTGCTGTTAAAAAATGCCTCCTGTGTCCCAATTTGGGGAAAAAATTTGCATCTGTAATGGGACACAGCAATCTAATCGGCCCTGTAGTTGTCAGGCTCCTATTCTTCCTGGCATTATTTTATTCATGTCATCCTCAACAAATAATGCTCACTTAAAACTGCAAGGAAAGGGAAACAAAAAATCCTGACACTGACTTTTTCCTTTTCTGAAGGCGTAAACTTAAACTATGTGTGAGTGAGAGAGACAGATTTTATTTCATTGGTGGTGCAGAGTTTGGTGGCAAGGAAGAGAGGTGTTAACATTTTACTTCTGTGAAAATCCTATGGAACACTGCTCTTTGAAATACATGGGTTGCCTGAATCATAATCAACTCGATGGCGATAGGTTTGGTTTTGGAGTGAGAAAGTGTAAGTGAGTATATGAGTGAGTGGGAGTATGTATATATAAGCAGATGGATAGAAGGTTAGAGGGATGCTTCAACTCTTTTTACCTTGTGGCCTTAATCCTTCAGTGCTATGTTTGATTAAGATGAGAGTGACAAGGGGTGGGGTGCAAACAGAGCTTGAAAAGACCTTATTGTCACTATGGGAAGATGACTGTTATGAAAATTAGTTTCAAATGACCCCTAAAGTTCAAATTAATTTTGTTTGCATTCTGGGGTATTTCTCCTAACCAAAAAAAAATGCTGTTTTGAGGTAGACTGCATTGATACATGAATGAACACCAAGACACAGGTCCACTAACTCTACAAGGGGCTTCTGTTCCCTGCAGACGAGCCATCCCAAATATATTGTCTCAAATTGTTATTTTCTCACAAATTGTCCAAACACTTCTGAAAAACCATTCCTCTTTACCAACCCCCAAACCTCATTGTGATAAAGTTGTCTAAAGTAAAAAAAAAAAGGGAAGAGACAGAAGGCCCCACAGCTATAGTCCTCAGAATATTAATATTTTATTACTTCTGTAGGTCACATATAACTTTCATTTCTCCCTATGACACTGGACTTTAAAGATACTTGAGTTTTGTTTGTATTTTTGGCTAAATGTCAAAAGAAAAAGTGGAGTTAATTCCTCAGTCTCTCCACTCCCTTCTCACCTTCATATAGTAAATACAAAATGTCACATTCTTATTTTCTTCTGTATTAAACAGGCACAATGCAAAGGTGTAATAATATTATTTCCCCTCCAAAGACAACAGATTTATATTTGTTAATGGGGATTTGCTACCTGTATCTTAATTTCCAAATAAATATATAATCTTATTATCCAAAGATAATGACATAGATAAATTACTACACAGAATTCTTCTTACCTTTAAGGAATTGCTGTTCTCTAATTACTAAGCTTGAAGATTTTTTGTTTGTTGTTTATGTTATTCATGAGCAAATGAAAATTAATTTATAATAATATTAAAAATGCAATCATGGACCTGTTGGGATTTTTTCCCCCTTGTGTTAATTATCTCAGTGATGCTATAATAGAACACTTGTGGTAACAAGTGTTTCAACTGCAACACAGAGAAATATGTTCTCTCATCATTAAAGAGATATATTCTCTCTCATGCTCCAATTGTGGTCAAGTTGGAACGGACTCATAGTTGACCCTCCAGTGGGTTTCCTCAGGCTGTAGATTTCAGGGAAGGAGACTGCCCATCTTTCTCCCACAGAGCAGGAGGTGGATTTGAACTGCCAGAGCGATGGACCACTAGCAATTGTAAATTTAAGTTTCAGGGCCCCAGCTCCAGAGAACACTGGAAGCATGTCCTTACTCCTTAGCTCCTCCGTGATTCCTCCTGTGACCTAAGGTTTATCTTCTCTCATCTCTCCTGTCTTGTTGAATCTCTTATCTCAAAGCAATTGAGTACTAGTCCTGTCTCATTAACATAACAGAGACAACCCATTTCCAAGTGGGCTTATGATCCCAGGCATAGAGGTCAGGATTTATGACACGTTTTTGTGGGACATAATCTGTAACGGCACTTAATTGTAATTGGCCATTATTTTTCCCCCCCTCGCTTTCATTAAGGTGAGGAAGACCTTCTCAATCCTGCCCAGGACACAAGCACAGGGTTAGAGGAAGTGATGGAGCAACTCAACAACTCCTTCCCCAGTTCAAGAGGTAAGCTCCAATACTGAGAAGCAGCAGAGCTATTGGAATGAGGCCAAACCCTAATCCGTTTCCATACCCAAGCGGCGTGTATATTTTCTATGTTTATAACGAGACACTTGCTAGCAGAGAGCCAATTTGGAATCACAGTCAGCAGATTTTATTTTTAAATAGGAGTTTTCTGGTTTAGAGTAGTTAGTTGGAATTCAAATACCTGTGTGATCAGATGCCTCTGAAGAGAAGACTGCTAGTCTATTATTTATGAAGTGTTAATGATGAGGTATTTTTTTTTACCTAAGTGGTTATTAAGTAACTTTTGCAGACGAGGAAATGAGTGCTTTGGTGGGGCTTTTGCTAGGAACATACATGGCAAGGCTTAGAACATGCCTAGTGAGGACTGGTGGTGAGGATTCCCACTTATAATCTGATGCCCCTTAAATTTAAAAATTGTCTCTCATCCTATCGTTTCAGTGCAGATACAATGAAATCTTGACATAATAACTTGTTTCTTTCCTCCACATTCATACGTGGAATACAGACTTGGCAAGGCAAGGCATTATTATTATTCTTCCTGCCCATCACTTGGACCTTCGATGTCTTTTGCACTTCATTTGCAGGCAGCATTTTACTCCACAGACTCTCCCTTCCCATCAGCATCAGATGCCAGGCCTGATCCAAGTTAGTTTAGGTTTGGTTTTGTTGGGTGTTTCTTTTGCACTGTTGCCTTGATACAAAGGCTAAGTCACTTCCCTTCATCAAATGAAAAGAATGCCAGTTGTCACTGGTGATCAGATAGATGGAAAGTCTAGGGGGGGCAGGAAGCACAGGCTTTGTGGCCCGTGACTGGCATCCCTAATGCGCAGCCATGGAGGGCAGGGCAGCCACAACTCTGGGCTATTTGTTCCTCTCCACAAGGGCAATGGGGAAGGTGTTTTGAGTTGTGTGTTTTTCCTATCTTTTTGTTCAGTGTCAGTGAACAATGGCCATTTCCTACCTATTTGATGTATGAGTGAACGTTGTGCAGTGCACATTAAAAGCAATAATGTTCTGATAGAACGTTGCTAAGGAACCGTCAGGGGAAGCTAATTTTAAATGTCTGCACCAGCCATCTTTTCACTGTTGAGCGCTTCTGATGTGTTGATTTTTAACAGATAAAAATCTTATCTGTCCTTCCATCCACCCTCACACCACCCACCCCTAGCCCCAGCCGACTATCTTAGGCTTCTCCTCTCCCTAGATGCCATTCTTCATAACAAGACTATGCCCCAGCTGGGCTTAAATATACTCTTTCACCTTCCTCCTCAGTGTTTCATCACTGCACCTAGTAAGCACCGGTGGAGATGCTAGGGATGCAGAGAAGGATGGATGTTGCCTTCAACGTGCTTATGATTAGTTAGGGATGCAGAGTTCCAAAAACGTATGTTCGACTTACAGTACAATAATAATAGTATTGCTGTGATGCAAATGCCTATAACATGAATGGACCCCAGAACCAGTCTATTTGACAACTCAACAGTTCATTTCTGTCAAGTTAGAACCCATTCATGGCTGACCCCCCCCCCCATTAGATTTCTGAGGCTGTAAAATCACACAGGAGAGTGTTCTTTTTCCCTTGGAGCTACTGGTAGACAGGGGTTAATCTCAAGCAGAAGGGTCTTCTTAAAAGCACACTGTTACTAAGCAGGGTGGGAACATATAGGGCTCTAGGCCTCATGTCTAGCACACATTTCATTACACTCATGCTTCGCATCAAAGTCACAGACATGGGTCTTATCTCAATGCCTTGAAAATGATGCTTATATCTCTACACTGTGGGAGGTCACTAAATTAGTGCTTATGGAAGCTTATTGTCCCCTAAGTGCTGATTTGAGTTTTCAAATATGGGATAAGGAGGCCTTGTCTGATACCAGGTCCACTAGTTATTAGTACCTACGTATTCAGTAGTTCAATAGGTTGGTGTCCTGGTTACTTTGGTCACACCTAAATAACAAGAGTATAGTGGAGATGAGGCTCTGCTTTGCCCCATTTCATACCTGGGCCTCTCTGGCACATCCCAGCTATCAGGAAGGTGAACTTCTTTACACCATCTCCCTGTAGCCCCTGTTAGTGTCTTTGAAGCTAGATACCTGCTGGCTTTGGAAGAAGCCACCTGGTAAGACTGGAAACATACCTGCTTTGATGCCATATTATTAGCTAACATCTCTGGTGTTATATTTACTTGCATGATGTTGATTTCCAATGAATCATGAAAATGCTGCTCACTTTGGCTGCCGGGATAGTGTTCACTAAATTAGTGCTTATGGAAGCTTATTGTCCCCTAAGTGCTGATTTGAGTTTTCAAATATGGGATAAGGAGGCCTTGTCTGATACCAAGTCCATTAACTAAGTACCTACTTATTCAATAGTTCCCCAGTGGCCTGAGAGAATGAATTCATATTTTAGTAACTAACAAAACACACAAACATAAGATGCACAACAATAAAGTAGCTAAGGTGCTGGAAAATCCAGAAAGCTGTTAGGACCTTGATGTTTTTTGGTTTTTTACTTCCTGCTAAATTAGGCCAGTTACAAACCCAATTTAGATTAAAATGGATTAAAATCTCATCATTGTAAAATCAGGATAACTTAGTTATCGAGTGCTGCTGAAATAGAAACACAAGTGGGTGGCATTAACAGATTTATTTTCTCCCAGTTTAAGATGCTGAATGCAGGGTGTAAGCTCAGGCAAAGACTTTCTCTATATGTCAGCTTGGGTCATCATCTGGGTGTTTTCCCCCTGTTCCCAACATCTGTGGGCCCTATATTCCTTGAAGATGTCTGCATGTCTTGTCATCCTGGGTCTAGGATGTTCTCAGCATGGGAACCTTGCATACAAATGATGGTCCACACTTGCAGCTCTTCTTGCTTGGTGGTACTCTAGTCCCCCTCTCTATCCTTTCATTTCTTATGAGATAAAAGATGATAAAAAACACACGTCAGAGAAACACTCATAGGAACAGAGCTATGATCTAAATAAGAGCATTACATCTATTCCTTCCTCATTAACCTAACAACTAGGACCTAATCCTCACTAACATGGTCTGACATAGGATGCTCTGGTGGCTTACGAAAACAAAGTATGCTGCCAACATAAAGGCACATGATTCAAGTCTACCAGCTGGGAAGTCTCCTTCTGTGTGATTTATTGCCTATGAGAACCTACTGGAGGTTCCACTATGGGTCTGTTCCAACTTGATGGTACACAACAACAGCAACGATCCTGCTTCATTGACACAAAAAGATTAGACTTTACAACATTTAAAAAAAATGCAGGAAGATTACATCAGATAACAAAATGGAAGACAACCATAAAATACTATAAATCATAGCCTAGTTGGAAGCAGGTGTCACATCTACTTCCTAAACTACATGCCTCTGGAAATTCTATGAACTAGAGAAATGATAGTTATAGAAAGGCTTCAAGTCTTTTATTGATAGGGTCACTATGAGTCATGCTTGATGGTAATCACAACTGTCAAATGACACATTTTTCTGAGGGACACATTTCAATTAATGACATAAGCTAACTATCAGTGCCTTCTAAACAGTTGATTATTCTATAGTAATACTTTTTTCAGATCTTCATGTCTTTAAGTTCATTTTGAGCTCTGGTGGCTTACTGATAAGGAATTTCCCTTACATCACAAAAGTAGGCTCTCCATGGGTCCAAGATGGGCAGTTTTCTTCCATGTGATTTTTCTTCTGAAAACCCACTTGAAGGGGAGCTATGACTCAGTTCCAGTGACATATAACAAAAGCATATCTTTTAAAAAATATAATTTGATAGGAACATCTTCCCAATTGATTTAAGTGTCAAGATGACACTCAACAAAAGTCCTTGTGAGTCTTAACATATCAGGATTATAGTCTCTCCCAAATGGAAGGGGACTTGGAAAAGTCTTTTTGTTCTACCTTTTTTTCATTTATAACTATGACCTTTGAGTTCCATTGACAGTAAATCTTAAAATAATTAACTCTGTAATAAGAAAAAAGCCATTTTCTATCTCCCACAAATAAGGATATAAAATAATTTCTTTGTGTATAGAGAGAGAAATACTGTGATCATATAAATTCACCATATATATATGTGTGTGTGTGTGTGTCTCTCTCTCTCTCTGTGGTGTTGTTATCAACCTTCAAGTTATAAACCCTCTAGTGAGTTTTCAGAGGCAGTAAACTGCACAGGAGGAGACGCCCAATCTTATTTCCTTATATCACCTGGTGGCTTCGAACCATGTGCCTTTGGGTTGACAAAACATTTCCTTACCACTAAGCCACCAGAGTGTGTGTCTGTATATGTATGTATCTATATATGTTTGTGTATAGTATGTGGATAGTCTATACATACATTAATCTTAAATATATACAAAGACCAAAGGCAAGTTTTAGGAAACTGTTGTTTTCATACTACATGTCATATAGTTTCACAATTCACTTTACTTTAAAATAATATTTTCATTGTTACACACTAAATTGGTCTTCTGGTAGTTTAAAAAATACCTAATTGATCTCAGTCTGGGTAAACTATCTTCTTCCCTTGAAAAAGATTAAAGTATTTTACCATGAAAGTTCCTGCCGAAACTATGCTAATACTATCTTAGAGAGCTTTTCATTTCAATCTTAAGTTTGTCATCCATGTTACTGTTGTGTTAGAAAAAAAAATGTTCACGTTTGCTACAGCTGTTTTGGACAGCTGTTTGAGTAACTCAAAGCAGATGTCAGAGCCAGAGGTCTGACATTTAGTGGAAATGTGCTACTAAATACCACCTCATGGTTTACTTAACCCTGCTAGATAATTGCCCACAGAGGAAAAGACCTTTTACAAAATAATCGGTTTTGTGTAAATATATCAAGTGTTTTTGTGTGCTTTACATTTACAACATTTTGTTGTTGTTATCCTCTACTACAGTTTTCACTTGAGCCAGACCTTAACTTATCAAATACAGGTTTAATTTTCACAAAGGTGCCTCGCT